GTTAAAACATTCTTCTCAGATACATGCATCACACACTCTCACTAAACAAACGCAGGGACATTTATGGATTGTTCTGGGTTGCGTGTGGCGGGTCCTTTTCCGGGCTTGCGTTAGAGGCCTAGCGGCAGGTAAAGCCAGATGATGAGGCCCAGGTTAGTCTAGGTAACCACATCTAATATGGCTGTATGCCTCATGAACAAAAAAGACGTGGTGGGCCAACTAATCTAGGCTTACTACCACTGAGGAGGCTACATGGCGGCACCTTAGTGCCTTACGCCTGCCCGTTTTGTTAGGTTGTCTGCGTGGTCTCAGAACTGTACACCTGCCGCTCGTCTCGCTAAGATGACCATTGTGTACCAACAAATACATACATTACACATAAACACCATTTTTACACTGGTTACTCAACGCCAGGGCAGTCTCCGTGGGTGGAACTGAGGGAGAGTGGCGACTCCCGGCCGGCCCGAGCAAGTAGCTGTTTTCTCTGGTAAAAGAGAGGGCTGCTGCTCTGGTTTTAACCCTTTCCAAATACTTATTTCTAGAAAAAAAAGGTAGTGCTGGCCTTCGCGGGTCAGTACGACACTAAAAAGATGCCAAAATGAAAAACATCGATGCAAAACTAGTACCCCAAGCAGTAACCTCTCTGAGGGGATCCGCCGGCAGTTCCGATCCGGTGAAAGCCCGGGTGACTGACGCAGGCCCCACGGATTCTGGGGAGGGGGGCACAAAAACGTGTCTCATTGCCAACAGGGACTGCTAAATGTTCCATGAACTTTTCTTACAGACAATGTACGAAGAGGAAGCCTGTCGAGTATAGGCAATAACGACACCGAGGACAGCAACATGTCGGTATATAGCCACCAGACCCAGGAAGAGCTTGCCTCTTTAGAAGAACGTGTCACTAGGCTTAGAGTGAAGCGACAGCAAGTTGCTAATAAAGTCCAATCAGCAAAGAATGACATTGCAGAGACGCTACAACTGATTAATGATAAGTACGGCAACACAGCGAACGCTGTTAAAAATGGGCTCAAAGCGGCGCTTAAGCATCTTCAAGAGGCAGAGGTGCTAAGAAAAGGATGTCTTACTGAAGAAGATTTGTATACCAACGCTGGGAAGTCGTCATTTGAATCCCTGCAGTGGAGGGAAAAAAGGCAAGATAATTTCCGACGGCATGTACAGAAACGAACCCTGAACACTGCCTTAAAGGAAAAAGAACGAAGTAAGAAAAACAGGAGCCCATCGAACAGCCCTGAGAAACGCCAGCAGGCTATGTCTTTAAAGAGAAAGAAAACAGTCAGTGGCAAACGGGAGAAAATTCTACTGAATGACAAAACAAGCCAGAAGAGAAGAGTGGACGTGACAACAACAGTAGTAGTGAAGATGGCTGAAGGACAGATCTTTGCAACGGTGCTGAAGACTATGAAGGCGAACTTTGACCCCGATAAAGCTAAAGTGGCAGTCCAAAGTGTTGTCACTACAAAAAAAGGAGACATACTTATTAAAGCCAAAGGTGTGGAGAATGCTACTGCATTCTCACAGCAAATTAAAAAGTCGGTAGCCGGACAGGGAACTGTCAAATTGAGCGACAGAAAAGTGATTTTAGAGGTCCGAGACCTTGATGCCATTGTAGAGGAAGATGAGGTCAAAGAGGCCTTCGCTAGGACTTTTGGACATCAGAGCCAGAAACCAGAAGTTGCTCTCTTAAAGCCAAATGCCAGAGGACAGAGGCTGGCTTTAAAAAAGGTGGACTAAGCATCTGCCAGACAAGTAGAAAAGGAAGGCAGGTTACGAGTTGGCTTTGTAAGCTGCCGAATTAAAAAAAAAATCAAAGTAACAAGATGTTACAAATGCCTGGGATATGCACACGTCTCGGGCAACTGTGAGAACGAAAACAGATCTAAGCTGTGCTTCTAGTGTGGAAGCTCAAACCACCGGAAGAAAGAGTGTCCAGGCCCAGCACGGTGCTTCCTTTGCCCAACAACGGACAACAAGCACGAAGCAGGCAGCGGAAGCTGCTCTTTATTCAGAAAAGCCCTGAAAGAGGCCAGGAATAAGGCCTAAGCAGGATCAGAGAATAAGGCAAAAAGGCCTTGAGTTGAAAGACAGGCTCATGTGGACCCACGCTGTGCTGGATACTTTTTACCTATTAGAAAGGGAAAACATTAAGCTTATAGTGGTGCTGGCTAAGTAGGCGGCCTACTATAAAGCGCTAAACATGGTGCTGGTCCTCAGGGACCCCGAGTCTTTTTCAGGACTCGAGAGCATCAGCACCTCTAGCAAACGGTGGCGAGTTAGCTCGTTGATGCTGTGAGACGCGATGGTCTCCCTGGTGGCTCCACCCTGAAGTAATGCTAACGCGGTTCCAAGACGGATCAAAAGCCACGCGGCATGGGGGGGGGGTTTTAGTGGGTATGGGTGGTCTAATAAAAAAAAATCCACCGAGTCCCACACTACCGCTGTCCCAGCGGTGTGCCTCAATTCATTTCCCCTCCTTCCACAAAAAAAAAAAAAAAAAAAAAAAAACTACTGCTACTACTACTACTACTACTACTACTCCTGGGTGTGGTTTTCCCGGGTTTGGTTTTCGCTAGATTCTCCCTACCGGACGCTTCCCCGGGTGGCGGATAGGGGCATCCTCTTAAAATATGAGGTGACCATGGGCAGCTGGGGTGTCACTCTGTGGTGGGGGTTGGGGGCGTGGATCGGGAGGCGTGTGTAGCGTTGGCGTGTGTATCTGCGGTGATGTCGACGAGGCACTAGTGCTCCATGCCTCCATCGGTGTGGATGCATGGGCCGGCTCTGCTTGTGCTCCTTATTCTTCGCTTTTTTGTGCTTCCGTGGGTGGCACTCCATTGCTTGATGCGGGCCAACAAAAACTAGCACCCGTCGTGTATAGAAGTAAGCGGTGGTTAAAACATTCTTCTCAGATACATGCATCACACACTCTCACTAAACACACATAGGTACACTTACGGATTGTTCATGGTTGCGTGTGGCGGGTCCTTTTCCGGGCCTGCGTTGGAGGCCTGGTGGCAGGTGAAGCCGGATGATGAGGCCCAGGTAAGTCTGGGTAACCACATCTGATATGACTTTACGCCTCATAAACAAAAAAGACGTGGTGGGCCGACTAATCTAGGCTTACTACCACTGAGGAGGCTATATGGCGGCACCTTAGTGCCTTACGCCATCCCGTTTTGTTGAATTGTCTGCGTGGTCTCGGGACTGTACATCTGCCGCTCGTCTCGCTGGAATGACCATTGTGTACCAACATACACTACACGAACACCATTTTCAGACTACTACTCTCCCGAAGGTGTCATGCGTACCGTGCCGAAAAGTTAGTTGGCCGCCGGGGTACTGGCGGTCTCAAACGGTGCCTCGTGGATACCTGGCGACCCTCACGAGTATTTAGCCTTACCGGCACTTGCGAAGCTCTGAATCGGTGGACTTTTATTTCCCAAGCTACTCATGGGAACAAAATGAAGGTTAATTTTTTAAGGGTTTTGGGGAAGGGTTCTATACGTGAGGGTGGTAAAGGCCGCGGCAACGCAGTGGGAGAGGAGTGCCAGGAATAGGCTATCTTCTACCACTTGCTGCAAGTTTTGGTCAAGCTGGGTGGACTCGTTAAAAAATACGGGACCACCCAGAAGGACACAAGAAGTGGAGTAGAGGAGGCCCTGTTCGCAGCTCAGGGCCTTTAAAAGAAGTTGGCTAATGTCGCAGCTGGGGTGGGGGGGTCGGGGTCCCCCCACTCTTTTTGACTCCTTCAGGGGAGAAGAAGAAGAAGGATGTGGGGAGCTCTCCGAGTCCCACTTTCCTGGTGCGACCACCGAAAAAAAAGACGTGGCGGTTGGAGTCCAGTCCGGATGAGAAGGAACGGACCCCGTCCACGAAGGAGGGAAGTGGAGACGGTAATCCTTCTGATCGAAAGGAGTGGAAGACCGTCTTAAAAAAAAGAAAGAAAAAAAAAAAGAAGATGAAGAAAGAGAAGGGCGCTAACCCAAAAAAAATTTCGGAGGGGTGCCCACCTCCTGGAATTGCTGGGAAGCCGCATCGGAGGGCCAGAATCCTCATCAAACCAGCTGAAGGTAAAAAGTAGGCCCTCGGGGTGGGGTTGTCATCGGTCAGGGAGACGAGGACGGGTGGAGTCCTTGTCGAACTGCGAAAGGCCAATGCTGAGCGTCATGACGCGTTTGCGGCAGCGTTAAAAAGCGCTGTGGCGGATGCTGGTAGCGTTCGCACCCTCGTCCCACGTCTCATCTAGGAAATCCAAGATGTGGACCAGACGGTGACCGAAGAGGAGGTTACGGTGACAATGAAGGGTCGTCTCGACGGGGCTGCTCTACCAGAGATGGTCGTGCGACTTTTATCGGGAACGACCAGAGGAAACGCGGTTGCCTATATTGAGGCCCCTGCGTCTGCAGCGGCGGTCCTCGACAAAATGGACTACCTGCGGCTTGGCTGGGTCAACTGCAGGAGTCGGCCCAGGATTAAGGCCGAGCGTTGCTACAGGTGCCTTGGGTTCGGCCACATTTCTCACCAGTGTGGCTGGCCTGACAGAACCGGGGCGTGCTTTAGGTGTGGCAAAAACGGTCACGTGGCACGGAGCTGCTTGCAAAAAGAAGCAAGCTGCTACTTGTGTGGGAACGTGAACCCGAGGCCAGATACCAGCCACGTCACTGGGTCTGCCAGGTGTGGAGCCCTACGGGTGGCTGTAGGAATAGCTCCGAAGAAATGGCGCTGATCCTGCAGGTGAATCTTGATAGGACCGTGCTCGCGCACGATCTGCTGGACCAGTTTTCCCGTGCCCGGGGTGTGGATTTGCTCTTTATAAATGAGCCATCCCGCACGTTACTGGACCGAGGCAGGTACTGCGACAGGACAAGAGGCGCAGCCATCCTGATTCGCAGCGAAAAAATCTCCGTATCAGATACTGGAGGGAAAGACGGGTTCGTGTGAATCAGGTGTGGTAGCGTTTTCTATGTAACTTGCTACATATCCCCTAACATTTCGATTGGTGTCTTCAGACAGTGGCTTGCCGAACTCGAGGATACCGTCCGAGTGTGCAGGAAAAGTGGTGATGTAGTCCTGGCTGGCGACTTTAACTCCAAGGTCATCGCTTGGGAGGAGCCGAGAACTGACCCCAGAGGACGGGCGGTGTTAGAGATGGCTGCAAGGCTGGATCTCATCGTCATGAACTCTGGTGGTTCAGCAACGTTCAGGCGACCTGGTAACCGGGGAACGATCATCGATCTCATGCTGGTGTCGTCAGAAATGGCGGCACGGGTCTCTGACTGGCGAGTCCTGGAGGACTACACGGTTGGTTATCACCAGTACGTCAGCTTCGTGATACACGAGGATCGTGGTGCAAACTCACGAGATGTAAACCGAAGGCGCGTAAACGGGTGGAACGTTGCAAAACTCAACCGAGATTTGCTACTAGAAGCCATGGTTGGCGCGCCACCTCCAGCTGATTTATCAAAAATCAAGCGGAGGCTGAGGCACTCGTGAGTGGCACGACGAGACGGGTCGAGGAATCGTGCGACGCGTGTATACCCAAAAGGTCTGCCAGGAGGGGTCGACGTTCGTGCTACTGGTGGAATAAGGACATTGCTAACTGGCGCAGAGAGGCGCAGCATCTATGGCGTCTTGCACAGCGACACAGAACTCGCCAAGGCGCCGGGGCAGCTGCTGCCACGTACAAGGTAGCAAAAAAAGCGCTGGTGAGGGCTATCAAGGTGAGCAAGAACCGGTGCTAACGTGAGCTCGTCGCAGAGGTGGATAAGGACACGTGGGGCCTGGGCTACCGTATCGCGTTAAAAAGACTTCGCGGTTCGGACCCGACGCCACCGATGGAACCTTCCCTCTTGGAGAGAGTGGTCTCTTGCCTCTTTCCGGAGCATCCCACTAGGAGGCGGGAGAACATAAGTGTAGGACAGGTACCTCTCTTCACTCTCGAGGAATTGAGGTCAGTGGCATCGGAGACGCCGGGGCATAAGGCCCCCGGTCTGGATGGGGTGCCGTCCGAAGTCCTCAAGATCATAGCTGTGGAGAAGCCACACGTTATGTTGGATATGTTCAATGCGTGCCTGCACGTTGGACTGTTCAGCAGGCGTTGAAAGATCCAAAGGCTTGTTCTTCTGGACAAGGGCAAGCCACCCCCCCTGGTCCCGTTGTCATTTCGACCCTTAGGTATGTTAAACAATGCTGGAAAGATGCTGGAGAGGCTGACAAGAACCCACTTGAGAGGGGAAGTGAGCCTCTCAGAAAACTAGTATGGGTTCCGAAAGGGGCAATCGACGGTTATGGCTGTGGCTGAGGTTCTCGAGTCGGTCAAGGAGGCATGGAAACCCTCTCATAAGACGAGGAGCATCTGTATCCTGACGACTCTCGACGTAAAAAATGCCTTCAATTCGGCAAAATGGTCCGACATTATAAGGGCTCTGAAGCGCCAGAATGTACCGGACTACCTGAGAAAGATCCTGGACAGTTACCTCCAGGATCGAGTACTCCGGTACGACACGAAGGATGGACCAAAAGAGAAGCGTCTGACGTCGGGAGTCGCTCAGAGATCTGCCCTTGGCCCCGATCTCTGGAACCAGGTCTACGATGAACTTTTGCGCCTTGAAATACCTCCGGGGGTCAAGCTGACGGGCTTTGCTGACGACATAGCATTACACGTCACAGCGAGATCGCAAGAGGAGGCCGGGCAAAGGTGGTTTGGGGGTGACTTTCGCCTGAGTGTTGCGGGTGAGGTAATCTGCACAAGCCCGGTGGTGCGCTACCTTGGAGTGTGGATCGATTCACGACTCACCTTCGGAGAGCACATCAGAAGAACAGCCGATAAAGCCGCTGGGGTCTCTGGGGTGCTTTCACGGTTAATGCCAAACGTTGGGGGCCCCCGGAAAGCCAAAAGACGGCTCCTTGCGTTGGTCTCCAACTCGATCCTGCTGTACGGCACGGAGGTATGGGCGGACGCACTCACGAGGAAGGATGTCCAAGAGCGCTTAACTTCGGTACAGCGCATCGGATCTCTGCGAATCGCGTGTGCCTACCGCACAGTCTCCTCCACTGCTGCTATGGTGATAGCACGAACGATTTCCTTCGTGTTGCTTGCGCAGAAGTGGCGAAGAAAATTCCTGGGCTCTGGCGACGAAAGTTATAGTGACAAACGGGAGGAAACGTTGACGATATGGCAACAAGAGTGGGGTCGGGCTGTAGTGGGTTGATGTACGCATTGCCTGACTCCGCTCTTGTGGCCATGGGTGAAGAGAGGGCATGGAGAGGTAAACTACTACCTCACCCAGTTCCTCTCTGGGCATGGCCAGTTCGATGCCTATCTCCACCACGTGGCGGTGAAGGCATCATCTAGGTGTTTTTACTGCCCTGCGTTAGATGATACCGTCGAACATACGTTTTTCGTGTGTGAGAGATGGCACCGTGAGCGCCAGCGGCTGGTGGACAAGATTGGCGTGGCACCCACTCCTGAAACCATCATCTCTGAGATGCTCAGCAGCGAAGAGGGGTGGACGGCAGTGGATGGCTTTGTCGGGTCGGTCCTCCGGCAGAAAAAAGAAGAGGAGAGAGCCGCCGTACAGGTAACGGGGGCCCCTGAGTGAAGGATGCGGACTCAAGCTGCGCTAAGTATTTATACTCATCAGCACGTGGAAGCATCAATGAAGCGCTACAAGACGGGTGCCGGTCCTCAGGGACCCCGAATCCTTTTCAGGTCTCGAGAGGATTGGCACCTCTAGCAACTGGTGGCGAGCTTGCTCGCTAATGCTGTGAGAAACGATGTTCTCCCTGGTGGCTCCACCCTGAAGTAATTCTAACGCGGTTCCGGGATGGATCAAAAGCCACGTGGCATGGGGGAGTTTTAGTGGGTATGGGTGGTCTAATAAAAAAAATCCACTGAGTCCCACACTACCGCTGTCCCTGTGGTGTGCCTCAATGCATTTCCCCTCCCTCCATAAAAANTTTAGTGGGTATCGGTGGTCTAATAAAAAAAATCCACTGAGTCCCACACTACCGCTGTCCCTGTGGTGTGCGTCAATGCATTTCCCCTCCCTCCATAAAAAAAAAAAAAAAAACTACTACTACTACTACTACTACTTCGTCGAAATTTTTTAAAAATTAAAGAACTGAACGTAACCTTTTTTTCCTTTACAAAAATCGTCTCGGTATTTTTTATTCTGACGCTTTTGACTTTTTTTTTGCAGCTACCACTAAACTCTGTTGTTTAAGTTTTTCTGTAGCCTGTCATTTCTTTTATTTCACCCTTTTAATTTTTGAATTGTTTCTAGCCTGCTGTTTTAAATCTTGATCATTTCCTTGAATGCGTCTTTTATCATTTTTTTTTCCTTTCGATTATTTTACATTTTTGCTTTTGAACAGCTGTTTTGACCCTCAAGGTCAAAATGTTCCTACCTTTAATGGTCCATTCTTCTGGATTATTTGACAGCGAATGCTTCATACCTAATGGAACTATCTCTGATGAAACCAGCATAGGAGCTTCATGCGGTGGCGTACAATATAGTTGTGTGCTAGAAGTGAAATAAAAAAAATTTTTTGTGTGAAGTAAATTAATGTGTGAAATGGCATTTGGTCAGGTCAATGCAAATAAAAATTCTTCTGCGAATTATATAGTCACGCGATGTGTCGAATGTGACAGAGCGTGTGTGGACGAGTTAGTCTAGAGAGAGACGCCACTGGTGTAACACGCACATACATGGCGTGCTCCGTTTAAGCTCATTAAAATTACGTATTTGTAAAATAATACAGTGAGTTTAAACAATTCATTTACCTCTACTACTCCCCTTCTTTCTATTAAAAAAAATCTGGCGACCGTGACAGGACGCGGGAGTGAGTAATTTATCGAAAGTTCTTTGTTCGCGATCGACTAACCTCAAAATGGACGGCGCGAAGAGGCAAAGAACTGTACAGCGTACTTTATTTACGAAGTGTCTCAATGCATTTATTGCTTAATGCAATAATGCTACGGTCACTACCGATGCTCGGAGTGTCGCGTTACAGTTGCTCAAAACAAGAATGCAAGAGCTAGAAATAGCAAACTCAAAGTTCGTTGATTTGTTGTCTGGTGCGAACGAAACGGAAGACGACGAGATCGTGCAAAAGATCGAAGCTCACGGTGAATACAAGAAGAAGTTTTTAGAAGCTAAAGTAAAGTACTTAAACGAAATCCGTGTATCACAGGCACCAACAAGTGAAGTGCGTGCAAATCATGCAGTACAAAACTTCGACAAACCGTACAAGCGGCCTACGCTAGATGTGCCGAAATACTCAGGAGGAGTTGACAAGTGGCTTCAGTTTTGGTCATTTTTTCGCAAATATCACGAAGACGCGAATCTTTCCAAGGAAGTGAAACTTGAGTACTTGAAGGGAATGATGCAACCAGGTTCAAAAGCATTTGGTATTGTTGATGGATATCCGACAACAGCGCAGAACTACGATCCAGCGTTTGAAAGTCTCAAGAGTCGTTACGGACGAGACGTTTTATTGATCGAGTTCTATACTAGAGAATTGTTGACTTTGACAATACAAAACGCCACGAAAAAGAAAGAAGACCAATTAGATATTGCATCAATTTACGACAAGTTATCAGCTCATATTCGTGCTCTTGATACATTGGGTGTTAAAACGGACAACTGTGCAACAATGCTATATCCGCTCATGGAATCTTCAATGCCCAAAAAAGTTCTTAGAATGTGGCAACGGTCGTGGTTGAGTTCAGCGACAGACAACGACAACAACATGCGAGGAGCTCCGGTTTCCGACCGTTTGACGAAGTTGTTGGAATTTTCGAAAATTGAGGTTACAAACGAAGAAAGAATCAACTTAGCCATCAACCATTTCGCAGTACCAACGGAAGAGAAAAAAGAGAAGACGAAGGATAGCAAGCAGAAAAAAAGCAAGGTGATGTCATCGAAGGAAGTAGCTACTGCCAGCGCGTTATTTTCAAGTGAACACAAAGGTACGAAGTGTATATTTTGCGGTGAAAATCACGGTAATTCGAGTTGCAAGAACGCGAGAAAAATGTCGTTTGATAGTAGGAAAAAACTAATCAAAGAAAGTGACTGCTGTTTCAAATGTTTGATACCGAATTATCGCTCAAAAAAATGCCAAGTGAAAATAACATGCGCCTGGTGCGGTAATCGTCATTCTATTCTTGTTTTTCCGGATTTGAACAGAGAGTCGAATAGCGCGAAGCCGCCGAAGAGTAATGAGTCCGAGAAAAACGAGCGTCGAGAGCAAAATCTCGCGAGTTTTTGTAGTTCACCTGACGTTTATTTACAAACACTGCGTGTTGTATTGTATTCCAAGACGAAAGAAAAGGTTGCAGGCGTAGTTATCGATCAAGGCTCGCAGAGATCGTACATACGTTCTGATGTTGCCAAGTCGTTAGGTTACGACTCTATTGGTAAACGTGAAGAGACTCATGCACTGTTTGGTGGCGCGAACTCGAGCACTCAAGAGCATGATGTTTATTTGATACGGATGAAAAGTCTTGAAAGTAATTACGCTTGCAATTTTCCAGTTATGAACGAAAAAGTTATTTGTTCGGATATTCAACGAATTTCACGTGCTAATTGGATAGATGAATTAAAAAGTAACAATATTTCTCTCTCTGACTTGGAAACAAACTCTACGTATAGTAACGATTCGATTGATGTCTTAATTGGCGCCGACATCGCTGAAAAACTTTTTACTGGTAATAAGTATGGTTTACAAAACTGTTTGACAGCTTTTGAGTCAAATTAAGGTTGGGTTGTTATGGGTAAAGTTCCAAGTAGCGAGAGAAAGGATTGTGCGTTGAACGCTATATCAATATTCGTGAGCGAAGCAAAAATATCTGATTTGTGAAATTTAGACGTTTTAGGGATAAAAGATCCGATCAAAAAGAACGACGAGTTTGAGCGAGAAATAATAATCAAAGAAAATTTTATTAAGAATGTTTGTTTTGAAAATGATAAGTACAATGTTGATTTGCCTTGGGTTGATGACCACGCACTAGTCTCTACTAATTTAGATTCATGTAAAAGTAGATTAGACAATACTATGAAAAAACTTCAAAAGAATAATTTGTATGATGAGTATGATA